GGGTTAGTACTGTGAGAGTCATGGGTTAGTTCTGTGAGAGAGTCATGGGTTAGTACTGTGGGAGAATCGTGGGTTAGTACTGTGGGAGAATCGTGGGTTAGTACTGTGAGAGAGTCATGGGTTAGTACTGTGGGAGAGTGGTGGGTTAGTACTGTGGTAGTCATGGGTTAGTACTGTGGGAGAGTCATGGGTTAGTACTGTGGGAAAGTCGTTGGTTAGTACTGTGGGAGAGTCATGGGTTAGTACTGTGAGAGAGTCATGGGTTAGTAATGTGAGACAGTCATGGGTTAGTACTGTGGGAGAATCGTTGGTTAGTACTGTCGGAGAATCGTCGGTTAGTACTGTGGGAGAGTCATGGGTTAGTACTGTGGGAGAGTCCTGGGTTAGTACTGTGAGAGAGTCGTGGGTTAGTATTGCGGGAAAGTCCTGGGTTAGCACTGTGGGATAGTCATGGGTTAGAACTGTGAGAGAGTCATGGGTTAATACTGAGAGATAGTCGTGGGTTTGTACTGTGAGTCTTGGGTTAGTACTGTGGGAGAATCGTGGGTTAGTACTGTGGGAAAGTCGTTGGTTAGTACTGTGGGAGAGTCATGGGTTAGTACTGTGAGAGAGTCATGGGTTAATACTGTGAGAGAGTCATGGGTTAGTACTGTGAGAGAGTCATGGGTTAGTACTGTGGGAGAGTCGTGGGTTAGTACTGTGAGAGAGTCATGGGTTAGTAATGTGGGAGAATCGTGTTTTAGTACTGTGGGAAAATCGTGGGTTAGTACTGTGAGTCATGCGTTAGTTCTGTGAGAGAGTCTTTTGTTAGTACTGTGGGAGAATCGTGGGTTAGTGCTGTGGGAAAGTCATGGGTTAGTACTGTGAGAGTCATGGGTTAGTACTATGGGAGAGTCATGGGTTAGTACTGTGGGAGAATCGTGGGTTAGTTCTGTGGGAGAATCGTGGGTTAGTACTGTGAGAGAGTAATGGGTTAGTACTGTGGGAGAGGGGTGTGTTAGTACTTTGGTAGTCATGGGTTAGTACTGTGGGACAGTCATGGGTTAGTACTGTGGGAAAGTCGTTGCTTAGTACTGTGGGAGAGTCATGGGTTAGTACTGTGAGAGAGTCATGGGTTAGTACTGTGGGAAAGTCGTTGGTTAGTACTGTGGGAGAGTCATGGGTTAGTACTGTGAGAGAGTCATGGGTTAGTAATGTGAGACAGTCATGGGTTAGTACTGTGGGAGAATCGTTGGTTAGTACTGTCGGAGAATCGTGGGTTAGTACTGTGGGAGAGTCATGGGTTAGTACTGTGGGAGAGTCCTGGGTTAGTAATGTGAGAGAATCGTGGGTTAGTATTGCGGGAAAGTCCTGGGTTAGCACTGTGGGATCGTCATGGGTTAGAACTGTGAGAGAGTCATGGGTTAGTACTGAGAGATAGTCGTGGGTTTGTACTGTGAGAGATTCATGGTTTAATACTGTGAGAGAGTCATTTGTTAGCACTGTGGGAGAGTCATGGGTTAGTACTGTGGGAGAGTCATGGGTTAATACTGTGAGAGAGTCATGGGTTAGTACTGTGGGAGAGTTATGGGTTAGTACTGTGGGAGAGTCGTGGGTTAGTACTGTGGTAGTCATGGGTTAGTACTGTGTGAGAGTCATGGGTTAGTACTGTGGGAGAGTCGTGGGTTAATACTGTGGGAGAGTCGTGGGTTAGTACTGTGGGAGAGCCATGGGTTAGTACTGTCGGAGAGTCCTGGGTTAGTAATGTGAGAGAGTCATGGGTTAGTACTGTGTGAGAGTCATGGGTTAGTACTGTGGGAGAGTCGTGGGTTAATACTGTGGGAGAGTCATGGGTTAGTACTGTGAGAGAGTCGTGGGTTAGTACTGTGTGAGAGTCATGGGTTAGTACTGTGGGAGAGTCGTGGGTTAATACTGTGGGAGAGTCGTGGGTTAGTACTGAGGGAGAGTCGTGGGTTAGTACTGTGGGAGACTCATGGTTTAATCCTGTGAGAGAGTCGTGGGTTAGTACTGTGGGAGAACCATGGTTTAGTACTGTGAGAGAGTCGTGGGTTAGTACTGTGGGAGAGTCAAGGTTTAGTACTGTGAGAGAGTCGTGGGTTAGTACTGTGTGAGAGTCATGGGTTAGTACTGTGTGAGAGTCATGGTTTAGTACTGCGGGAGAGACATGATTTAATATTGTGGGAGAGTCGTGGGTTTGTACTGTGGGAGAGTCATGGTTTAGTACTGTGAGAGAGTCGTGGGTTAGTACTGTGGGAGAGTCATGGTTTAGTACTGTGAGAGAGTCGTTGGTTAGTACTGTGGGAGAGTCATGGTTTAGTACTGTGAGAGAGTCGTGGGTTAGTTCTCTGGAAGAGTCATGGGTTGGTACTGTGAGAGAGTCGTGGGTTAGTACTTTGGGAGAGTTATGAGTTGGTACTGTGAGAGAGTCGTGGGTTAGTACTCATTGTGAGAGAGTCATGGGTTAGTACTGGCTGTGGGAGAGTCATGGGTTAGTACTGGCTGTGGGAGAGTCATGGGTTAGTACTCACTGTGGAAGAGTCATGGGTTAGTACTCACTGTGGGAGAGTCATGGCTTAGTACTCACTGTGGGAGAGTCATGGGTTAGTACTCACTGTGGGAGAGTCATGGGTTAGTACTCACTGTGAGAGAGTCATAGGTTAGTAC